AATCGCAAATGCGCTCAAGCATTGCAAACTCTTTTGCAGGCGGCGATTTGTGCTTTAAGCCACGTCTACAGCAAAACTGACCTGCCCAAAAAATACAAAAAGCTAAGAAAATAGAAAAACAAAGAGACTGAATGAAACGAAATACGGGCAGTTGAAAGTGAAAGTCCTCTGTTGTTGCTGCTGTTGATATACACTGTTTGTAATGCGAGCTAGGGTATATAGTTGTTACTGGAGAGGGTTTAAATATCATTGCATTTAGACAATGCGTTCAGTAGAGGGAAAGTCTCCCAAGGGGGAGCTAATTTCTTTGTATCTTTTTTTGAAAAATTCCTATCAGTTTGAAAAGTATGAGACACAGAGTATGCCCAGGTAGGTAGCGTAGGTCTCTTGAAAGCCGAATCAAAGAACTACTAAGATTACCAAACTAGCCTTGAGCTCTAGAGCTGGCATCAGCAATTCGGTTAGCTAGAAAATTGAAGAGTTAAAGCTTAAAATATCTAGATATATAAAAAAAATGTAGCTAGCCTTATGTCATTTTATATACTAAGATAAAATAAATAAATTGAACAGTTTCTGTTTTGGGATTGAAATCACAGAACATTACAAAAAGCTCTTAGCTGCTGTTCGACTTTAAACAGAGTATGGTTTAGTTATGCACAACTGAAGAACTTATGAGTAGAAACGCATTGACAGTTCTTGCTTTGGACTAAGGAACTTCAAAAACCCCAGCAGCTAATCACTCCATCAACAGAGTATTATGCAGTTGCTACTAAAAGTTCCCCCCTTTCCTATTTTCCTCTCATTCAGTATTAGAACCTCTGCAACCTCTGTCAACTCTCAGCTGCTTGTACAGCATAAACAGTGTATGCTGCAGTCATGGACCCTGTTTGGGGCTTTTCTTAACTAGGGGGAGCTGCCGCATTGGCAGCATCACGCGAATTTCAATTGGCAAATGAATAAGCCGCATCTAGCGAGTAAATTAAACAATTTTATTGCACACGCAGCTAAATGGAGCGCTGCAATCAATTGCATTGCGTTGACCAAAGTAAGATGCAATAAACCAGTTGATAAGATCTGCTTTGGAAGCGCTTCCTGCTACCGAAAAACCCGTTAAATGTTTCGCAGTTAAGGCCAGCAAATGAGGCAGATGCCTGCGTGGTTACCTGGCTGGCTAACTGCCTTCTTCTTCTGCTTAAACACGCCTGTTTTCAAGTTTAACCACATTCGCTTTTATTTCTTTTTTTTGTTTATATTTTTTACTCGCATTTCGTTTCGCTTTTCCATTCGCATTCGTTTTGTTTTCGTCTTATTTGTTTTTATCGCCAATTTCTACACTTTTCTCACCTTTCGAAGCGGCCTTTTGCCTTTTGAACTCTTCGTGAACTAATTTACATTAGAAATCAACCAGATTTCCCCAAGCTAAATAGTTTTATAATACCTATCTTAATATTGATTAGGGCCCTATTTTGTAGATTAGGTAAGCGTCGAGGCTTTATTGTTTTGTTCATAAGCTTTGTCCAAAGCAAAGAGTGAAATATAATAAATGATTGTTTTTTAATTTGCTCTACACACAAATTAATCTTAAGCAGCGCCGCGACAATAATTAATGTCAAGAGTTACGAAAATGTCTCAAACGAAGATAACACTAATGATACCCTGTAGCAATCATAAATAGGGTAGTCAAGTCAACTCGCCTGTTAACGCTTAGTTCAATCAGAACTCTTTCAAGGCTCTCTCTATTAGCATAGTTAATACACTACGTTAATTTGCAGATACATTTGTATCTTATAGATACAATGGCGTTCATTGGAAATTATTTTCAATTTTCTTTAAACGATTTTGTGGTAAGTAAAATTCCCCATCGATTTGTGGCGACAAAATTGATACAAGCGTGCTGCATGTTGCATGTGGTCGCTACTAAATTCATGAGTCTGCATATTTATTCAACTTTGTCGCTTATGACAATTAAATTGCTCTTGTTTAATATTTAATGGCCGGCAATTAGTTTTTATTGGCTATTAAATTGGTTCTACGAGAGCTCAAGATTGGTGAAATGTTTTGGCCAGATTTTGTCGCCATAGAAAAAAAAGCAAGTGACAGGGCTCTAGTGAGGAGTGCACGACTAGTAGATACCCTGAAATGCATGATGAGCTGCTGTTTGAAGCATTTTAGCTTCTATTTCTGGGTGTAAGAGTATGAATATAGAGCAGAATTGAATATAATTTGTAAGAGACCCAGAATATAACTTTGTATCTATAATTTATTTCTTTTATAACCAATGAAATATAGGCATGCTAGAATACTTTCTTGCAAATATCTAAAATATTGTGCTAGAGATAACTTCATATATGCATACACACAAGACGCATAAAGTGATTGATAAACTGCCTGGCATAGCCAGAACAACTCTGCTGTGGCTTCCAACCAAGAATACAGAGGCACGCTTAATATATTAAAATACACAGCTAAACTTTGTAAGGTGAGCTACGCCACCTTCTCGTGCCTCAATTCTCATTTTTAATTTACGCTATAGAAAACAAAAACAAACTATTGATTAAACTGCGAGTTGTTGAAAGTTGTGCACTCAACCAAACTAAGCTGGCTGTTATTGATGAGGCTTTTGCCTGAGGTGTAAGCTGCCACGCCCACACGCACCTACGTACCCACTTGTGACCCAGTTTCTAAACGTTTTGATATCGATGCAAATTTATGCAGCAGCAAGGCATAATTAAAACACACGCACAAGCTTTGCATTGATATTGGGTTCTGATTTGGCCACTGCACTGGCCAGTGCTGTGTCAATACATCACTTTAACAATATATCAGCATGGATTTAAGCCAAACTATTTAAGGCCAATTAACGCAGCAGATTTTGCAGCCTTGACCAATACGCAACGGCATTTTATTGTAGTGCGTTTATGGAATGTTTAAACAAAACATTAAAAAACAGTGCAAATAACCACATTTTTGACTTAAATGATAGTTGGAATACCCTTCATATTATTGAAATTGAAATATTAAGATATTGTATATGGAGCTTTGATCAAGATCCTATAAGAGAATATAAATAGATTGGTCAAAAATATATCATTTAAAAATATATGCTTAAATACTTTGAGCTTATTATTTATTTGTATTATATATTAATTACTTAATAATCATTATTAAAAATATGTAATTTTGAAATATACAAATATAATAATTTGAGTTATTAACTTAATTAATATTTCTATTGATTATCATGTTAAATATATCAAGATTTCTCTTAAACACTCAGAAAATTGTAAAATAAAAATGTAATTTATTATTATTTTAATTATTATTTATTATTATTTATTATTTGTATATCAATTTATTTTCACTCTAGACTTTCATGTTAAGTTCCCTTACATTACACATTTTCCTTAAGACATCATAATAACCTCAAGTTGAGGGTATTCGTTCAAGAAGTGCAACCAACAAAAAAAAGGAAAATAAAAAACTTTACGCGTTCGCGCTTCAAATGTTTATGCGCTGTTTGTTTTGCGCGTTTATTTATTATTTTTTTTGTTCGCCTCACTGTTTTATTTATTTATTTCTTTTTTATCTTCTTGTTTGTTTTATGTTCATTTGAACGCTTCGCTATGAAATTTAATTTGATGTGTGGCCCAAGCGCTGACAGGGTCGAGTAGCCCAAATGACGTTGTCAGTCAAATAATTTTAACTGCGCGCGTGTGTGTGTGAGTGTAGTTGTTGCTGTTGTTGTTGGCTTGAGCTGTGTGTTGATGTAAATACTCGAGCAAGTGCACTAGATAGTCAAGTGTGGATCGGACTTTAAGTGGCTGTTGGTTATTGAAAGGCCATTAGCAAATAACCTTCTTATCTGATCTTTCTGATCTGCAACCGAATTGGAATTTCGAACGTTGTTTAGCCCATCTTAAAATCATCGTCAAGTTTAATTCAATAATATTTATAAACATCGTTAGGAGTAATATTGTAATAGGCAAGAGGTAAATTGAGTTCGACTCTGTTTGCTCTTGTAATTATGAACCTTTTTATATGAAACTAATATTGAAGTGGGTGCAAATTCTTATCATCAATATTAGCTGATTTCTAATTGGATTTTACAGATAACTTAGACAATTACTCCAACGGTCTAGAGTGAAGGATTAAAAAAAAATATATATATATATATATTTTATATTTTATTAATATATTATATTAACTTTCCCTTTAAATGACTTTGTCTTTAGGGTTTATGGCATTGGCTTCGAGACTGAAACAGCATTTCTTAGCTTTTATACTTTTCTCTACTTTTGTTACTCTGGCGATGAGCTAAGGGCTTTGCTGTCAGCAACAAAAATATCATCCATCACCCACCTTTTTATTATAATAGATTTAGTTAATGTTGTTAATAAGTTTGTAATTTGTTGTTCTACTAAAATGTTCCATATATTGTCAATATATATCCAAATTAATTATATTTTAAAATATCATTTCTCAAGTCTAAATTATATACTTTTAGGCATGGTTAAATATAGTTGTAGTAAAGTAGTCAGAGATGTATTTAGCCCTAATTAAAGCATATTAACAGCAGACAGAGCATAGTTAACAAGAAGCTCATTAATAAATCTCTCTACAATCTAAGTTCAAGTATTTTATCCTTTAAGATCTTTTGAGTACATATGCTAGAAATAAACAAAAGTAAAACTTTAAGCTCATTGAAAAGATTTAATCTGATTTCATTGAAGGTTGTTGATTATTAAGTATATTAAAATATTAATAATATAATATTTATGAATAGATTATATAAATAAAATGTAACAATAACTCATTATTATTGCGCCCTGCACCTAAACCAATTATTCATATATGAAAACTGTTGCCTACTTTTGAGCGCTGCACATTAAATAATTAAGCCCTGAATAAATTTAAATTCATATAAAATATTTGTGTTATTTTAGGCTTTTAAAAAAAATTGTCGTGAAAAAAGTTGGCAAAAAATTTTTGTGTTTGCGCAACTGTTTTGCCAAAATGAATAAAAACTGTTGGCTAACAAAGTGTTCAATGTCGATCAACATTGAAGCAAGGTCACACTAGATTAAAGAGCCTTAGATTTGCTATAAAAACTGGCAAGCAGCATTCGGAAAGCGAATTCAAATCAAGAACATGAGAGCTACGTTACTTCTGACTGCGCTCTTGGCAATCTTGTCCAGCGCTGTTTTGATCAATGGCCAACTCTTCAACAGTGGCAGCAACCTGCTAGGCAGCGGCAGCAGCAATACACCAAGGATCTGTGTGCTCTCCAATTGCAATTACTATGCAGTTAGCGAAGTCTGCGGTCGCTATGGAAGCTCGAATCTCTGCAAACGTTTCAGCAACAGTTGCATGCTGCGCTACGAGGCCTGCGTCAACTCCGTGGCCTACACAACTGTCTCCATCTCCATGTGCTCAGGCATTCCCGTGGGCACACGCAGACTGTGCGCCGGCAGCTCCACAGGCTCCACATCGAATATACAGCCCATATACATAAACAGACGTCGTGGTCGTGGTTAAGTCAAGCTTACATTTTGTTATTGCGTTAAAAATAAATATTTAGCCTATTTAAAATGAAGAAAATTTGACGAAATTGAGAACATTATATAATTTGGCAATTAATAGAAATACAATAATATATGAAGGGTGTCCAAGTAAGAGTGATACTAATTTTAATAACTATATTGAAGCAACTATTAGAGTTAAGAGTCATAGGCAGCTAACAAAATAATGAATAAGATTTGCCATTATATTTAAAAGTCTTTTTATGCCAGTAGAAAACATTAAAAAACTCTAACAAAATTTAGATTTGGTCGTTGTCATTATGACTTCAGTACACAGAAATTCGAAATGGAAACAGCCTTTTGGGTATAGAAAATATCACTTCCATAGCAATTGGTAGATCACACCTAGATGACTTGAATCGGCAACGATTAGCTTAATTGTTCAAGGGCAGAGAACTAACCCATATATATCCTTAGAGAATTGTGTCATACTAAAGCTACAAAATAAGCTTTATAATAAAATGAATAAAAACAAAATCAAATAATTTTTTCTGTTTCCTTCAATTAATTAACTTAAATTCATTAATATTATATTATATAAATATGGGCTTAATTACAGACAATTGCTTTTAATATATTAAATAAATACACAGAATTAGGTAAGTATTTGAGCAAGTGCTCGAGCACAGAATAAAGACTCAAATTTCTGAGAGCATCTTGGATAGCCTTCTTGAATTCTTTGACATTGGTAAGCAAACACAGCTGACAGCTAATTGGCATAATATTTGGCTGAAACACAATATAAATGCCAACAGTTGCTTAGCCATATTATATGCGTTCTGTGGCACAATGAGAGCTCTGCTATTGGCAGTCGTGCTGCTCACTTTGGTGTACCTAAGCAGCTCCGCTGAGACGAAGGCAAGCGCCAGCAGATTGCAAAGCTGTCGACGCACAGTTCGGGCCAAATGTAAACCGAATGGCAAAATATGTGTGCGCATCGCACGCAGCAATCTGTGTCAACTGAGAAGTTACAGCTGCAAACAAAGGCTGGCCAATTGCAGAACAGCCAACAGCAATAATTCGCTGTCCCAAGCATGTGAGTTATGCCCTCGATATACGCACTCACAATTGTTAACCCTCTTGCCCGCTTCAGTTTATCAGAGAGTCAACAGAAAACTCTGCTCGAGCAACAAAATCAATCAAAGTTTGCCCTGTGCCAGCTCCAACAACAACAACAACAATAGCACGAATACTCCAATAATATATGCATGAAATGTGTGTAGAGGGAAATTTCATATATGCTCATCGTTTGCATGTGAGAGTGAAGTGCCAAAGTTGATTGACTCTCATCTTGAATAATTTATGCTATCAATATAACATCTGGATACTTTAAGTAAAAGCTTGCCTTTGTCTAACATGCATTCAGCTGGTGCTATGTTAAGAGTTAACAGGTTTAGGTTGACTGATAATTAAAGCAAATTTTTATTGATGAAAATAAACCAAAAAAATATAAAGAAATGATAATATTCTTAACTTTTTAGTAGATAAAATATAGAAATTATTACAAATGCTATCTACAATTAATAATAGTAAAATACTCAAAAAAAAACCATAATAAAATGTATTTAATAATTTAATTTAATTAAGCATCAACATTTCAATTAACATGTTCATATGACCCAGGGCAAATTTATAAATTTTAAATTATGTGGCGTATGAGGAAAAGTATCTATTTGATGAACAGACAAACAGACAGGTCTATATTGCCTCATATGTACTTCAAAAAGTTCAAGTAAAATGTTAGTCATATTAGTAAATATTAAATATTATTGCAAACATCAATAATACTATTAAATAAGCTTAAAATAAAATGCGAAATTTAACTCAGTTTATCTTCCCATATTTCAGGCTAGCGCTCTGTCTCTAGCTCTCACTCTCTCTCTCTCTTTCTCTCTCACTCTCCATCTCCCACTAATCGCCATATATTGTGACAATTATATATGTATTTGGTTTTATTGCTGAAATTTTTAATTGCATCCGCAGGCGGTTTCAGTAATCCGCAACACAAAATAAAAAATAAAGCACAGCAAAAGGCAAACCCAAAAACAAAACATAAAAAGCGAAAAAAGTGCTTTTATAAATTGCGCGTGTGTGTGAGTGTTTTTAGCCATAACTATAATTTTCTTTTCTCCTTTTGCTGTTGTTTTGCCTTGAAAATGTGCAATTTATGGTAAATTCGCTTTCATGTTATGCGATAGCAATTAAAAAGCAGAGCACACAAAAACTGCAGCATATATCATGGCGCGATGTGTGCATTACTGCGTGTGTGTGTGCGTGTGTATGTGTCTGGCTATGGAACACACTCACACACACAGTTGCACGCGTTTTGCCAGCGCCAAATGATAAAATGAATAATTGTTCAGCTTTTTGCTGGCACAACGGAAATGCAATCATCAAAATGGACGAACTGCTGTTTCCGGTTTGACAAACGCCCATCGAACGCTTAGTTGAACCCGTTATGCAACACTTGTGCGCCATTTGCAGCACAGCGAAACCAACACAGGATTCAAATTTACTGCAATCAATTTTAATACTCCGCTATCTAGAAAAAATATTTTTTAATATTACATATGTTTTAATTATTTTAAGCTTTATTTTGCAAAGTTATTAAAAATATTTATGCAATGAAAATTAATTTTAAATATTTTAAATTAATTAATAAAATAAAAAAGTATTTTTGTGAATTTTGAAAATAATTTTTTGTAAATTTTTTAGAACTATTTAAGCAGAAAATAAAAACTTTTCTTTCAAACAAAATCAAAACTATTTTTAAATTATTTTAATTCAGTTAAAAATATTTTATTAATTTTTCAAATTCATAAGTGCAAATATTTTTTTACAAATTTGTACAATTTCTGTAAGCTCAAATAAATAATATTTATATTTTATATTATATTATAAATATGTTTATCTTAAGTAATGCAATTATGTGCCGCAGATGCCCATTTGGTTGATACCAAGATTCTTGCAGCCTGGAGAGAAACTCACTGGGGTTCCCTGGCGACCGAATTCTAAGGAAAGCAAACCGATTTGGTTTTATATATAGTCTATATAGAAGTTTCCTTATATAAGTCTTTGGCTTACCGGTTTTAGACAGACAATTATCAATCATAAATTGGCATTCGTTTTTGTAATTCTTGCAATAGCTCATCGCATTATCGGTATACGAGACACATATGGCCCCGAACTTATCACAGATTCGCCGATTGGCCCATTTGCAGTAGATATATCCATTTCGGCTGAGAAAGAGTCCAGCCTGAATTGACCCAAGCAGCTGCAGCAGCACACAGCAACAGATAATTAGGCGAGTGAGTGTCTTCATCTTCGTCTTGAGCTAATTGAATTGAGACTGATCCAAACACTAAATATTCTTCCACATTTTATAGTCGAATCGGTAAAGCCGAGCTCGAGAGCTTCGACTGCAAATATTTGCCAACTGAAAGCGGTTCAAAATAAACTGTTTGCCAAATGTTACGACAGTAAGAGCGAAAATGTCAATAGCTGAGGCTGAGCAAATAGAGCACGAGCTTAATGCTTTCAAATAGACCAAAATTATTACTTACATAAGTATGCTTGGAGATATGTATAGCAAAAGATTTTGTTTGCAAATATGTGCGTACGGAAGGGATCTGAGTAGCTTGCGGCCTACTTTTGAAGGCAACAATTATAGGAAACATGTAGATAAATAAAATATAAATATCTATAGTAGTCTATAGTAGTATAGAGTAGTAATCAGCTTTACTTTTAAAATAGTAGTATATTTTAGTACTATTTATGATAGATACTACTCTATCATAATTAATTTATAGTAGTAGCAATTAATGGAACTTATGATAGAGTAGTAGACTACGCTAGTTATTTTTCATTTAGTAGTATGTTAAAATAGTAGTATCTGAGTAGTAGTATTGAGTCCGCAGTACTTTTTATATAATACTGTATTTAAATAGTAGTATCTATCGCATAGTTTAGAAAACTACTGCTCATAAAGTAGTAGAACAAAGTATAGTCATAGTAAATATACAATATTAGATATTCTCAAATCTACAACAGCAAAAGTATAATATTAGGAGTATATAACAATAGTAGTATATTTGGCTTAGTAGTTAACAGTTGCAGTAGAAAAAGTAGTTTGTAGTACTAAAGATCAGTTAAAATAAAGCCGCAGTAGAGCATGGTCGCAATACCTATGATATAGTTAGTAGTAAACTATAATAGTAGTCTGTAGATATATGTCATATATCATATATCACATATCATATATCATATATCATATATCATATATCATATATCATATATCATATATCATATATCATATATCATATATCATATATCATATATCATATATCATATATCATACATCATATATCATATATCATATATCATATATCATATATCATTTATCATTTATCATATATCATATATCATATATCATATATCATATATCATATATCATATATCATATATCATATATCATATATCATATATCATATATCATATATCATATATCATATATCATATATCATATATCATATATCATATATCATATATCATATATCATATATCATATATCATATATCATATATCATAATCATATATCATATATCATATATCATATATCATATATCATATATCATATATCATATATCATATATCATATATCATATATCATATATCATATATCATATATCATAAGCAGAGGCAGAGAGCAGAGAGCAGAGAGCAGAGAGCAGAGAGCAGAGAGCAGAGAGCAGAGAGCAGAGAGCAGAGAGCAGAGAGCAGAGAGCAGAGAGCAGAGAGCAGGAGCAGAAGCAGAGAGCAGAGAGCAGATGAGCAGAGAGCAGAGAGCAGAGAGCAGAGAGCAGAGAGCAGAGAGCAGAGAGCAGAGAGCAGAGAGCAGAGAGCAGAGAGCAGAGAGCAGAGAGCAGGAGAGCAGAGAGCAGAGAGCAGAGAGCAGAGAGCAGAGCAGAGAGCAGAGAGCAGAGAGCAGAGAGCAGAGAGCAGAGAGCAGAGAGCAGAGCAGAGAGCAGAGAGCAGAGAGGCAGAGAGCAGAGAGCAGAGAGCAGGAGAGCAGAGAGCAGAGAGCAGAGAGCAGAGAGCAGGAGCAGAGGCAGAGAGCAGAGAGCAGAGAGCAGAGAGCAGAGAGCAGAGAGCAGAGAGCAGAGAGCAGAGAGCAGAAGCAGAGAGCAGAGAGCAGAGAGCAGAGAGCAGAGAGCAGAGAGCAGAGAGCAGAGAGCAGAGAGCAGAGAGCAGAGAGCAGAGAGCAGAGAGCAGAGAGCAGAGAGCAGAGAGCAGAGAGCAGAGAGCAGAGAGCAGAGAGCAGAGAGCAGAGAGCAGAGAGCAGAGAGCAGAGAGCAGAGAGCAGAGAGCAGAGAGCAGAGAGCAGAGAGCAGAGAGCAGAGAGCAGAGAGCAGAGAGCAGAGAGCAGAGAGCAGAGAGCAGAGAGCAGAGGCAGAGAGATGGATCAGAAGCATAAGCATAAGGCATATAGAGCAGAGAGCAAGAGCAGAGATGCAGAAGCAGAGAGCAGAGAGCATAGAGCAGAATCAAGGAGTCATAGATCAAGAGCAGTAGAGCAGAGACAAGAGCATAGAGCAGGAGCAATAGCATAAGCAGATATCATATAGCAGATGAGCAGATAGAGAATCAGGAGCATAAGCATAGATGCATAGAGCAGATATCATATGCAAAGCAATATCATATATCAATATCATATATCAGTATATCATATATCATATATCATATATCATATATCATATATCATATATCATATATCATATATCATATATCATATATCATATAATCATATATCATATATCATATATCATATATCATACATTCTATATGAAATCTTATAGCTCTATCATATCTCCTTCCACAGAATTGACGTTTAAAGTCTCTTTTGACTCTTTTCTAGCTGCCAAATATCCTTCTATTGATTATAGAAAAACCAATATTTTTTAAATTTAGTTAATGGTAAGCCATTTCGTGACTACGCCCAGTTATTATATGGGTTTATTTAAGTGTCCATAACAGTTTGGTCCTGTTGTTGGGTTCTCATGATTATTTGGCTTTTAGGCTTATTATAAATTCAAAAAGTGTCGACCGCTAATGAAATAGCTCTGCTTTCTCAAACACACACACATATATATATATATATGTATGTATATATATATGTATATATTTATATACATTTATATAGTTGTAAAATACCGTGTATAATAATAATTACTATGCCGCCGTCCCAGTAATTAGCGAGCTGTGTACAAGCTCAAGTACAGCTCGGTAGGGTTTTCGTGGCTATGTCACTCAGTCACTCATAGCCAACAGTTTTTATTTTTTCATCATGCAAATTTACACACATCACACAAACACACACAGCTGTACACACTCGCATTCTCCTGAGAGCTTTGCACATTTCATGTCAAAACCGTTGGCATGTCATGTCAGGCGCTCATTTCGTTGCATGTTCAACTGTAAATGTACACCGCCCACCTGCCCACTAGCCCAGCTGTCTACCTGCCTAGCCACTAGGCGTGTGTGTTACCCAAATGCGTCTTAGTATACTCTGATATGCTTGGTGTACTCGTAAGAATAAGCTGCTTACAACCAACAGGCGCAAAGGGAATACCTCAAAATAACTTGGAGAAGCTTAGGCATGAGCTTTCAGAAACTTGCAGTGCTAAGCTCTGCGTTATTAACAGTTGTATAAGAAGATAAAGTTTCTGTTTAGCTAAATTTAAGCGTCTTATCAAATTTAAAGAAACTTAGCTCTAAAAGCTCTTATTGATTAATGTAGCAGCAAGTTTCCATTTTCAGAGTTGCTTCAAAGGGTATGCGATAGGTCGGCTTGTTTCTTATTTTCCGTTTTTCCATTTCCATTTCTTCTATCCAATTTCCCTTGCTGCTGTTATTTGTGGTGCATTTGTTGTTAAGGCTTTTTGGGGTTTAATGTTTTTATTTTATCGCACCTTCAGGGCTCGACAAGAGGCCAGACCCAAGCGCAGTCCTCAGCACAGCCAGAGACTCGATAAAAATGTTGCTTTTCTTATGCTTTTCAGCATTTTCGCCTTCGTTTTTTGCACACTTTTCCCTTGAGCAACTCGCACTTGCATGCAATGCAGAAAATGATTAACAATGCCCACAACGCCGACCGACAGGCCCAGCCAGCAAAGTATTTTCGTACAATAATAAATAATAAATGAAAATGAGAAGGAAAAAGAAAAACAAAAAAATAAATAATAACAACTTGGCTTTAATTAGTCGCACGGTTGCACAGTTGCATGTCATATAAATTACAAATGGCTTATCGTCATTTTACCTCTCTTTTCAAAGTATTTTTTTAGTATTTTTTCAGTATTTCTTATATATATAGTTGTTTTGCAGCTCTTACAGCTTGCAGGCAAGGTCAAGCAGTCAGGCGCAAAGCCACGCGTAATACGAAAATGTCATAAGAATTAAAACAAAATATTAAAAAAAGAGAGAGAAATAAAAAAGCAACGCAGTAAAGTTTCTATACCCTGTAAATAGTTGTTTTTACTAAAAGAGTTTTTCGGAATAAATTTTTAAAATAATAATAAAATTAAATAAAAAAATAAAAATTATAAGGAATTAAAGGCCTTATGTATCCCTGTTTAACCTCTAGGCTTAACTTTTATATTTTATTTATTTATTTAGACATGAAAATTTGTTCATAACTGACATATTTGAAGTACTTAAGTTTGTTTTTAGTTTTTTATAAACGAAAAATAAAAATTAAAAACAAAAATAAATGAGTCAAGCATCAATCAACAATTTAGGCAAAGATCTCATAGTTCACATACCCGTGTTATAATATATATATCTGTATATGTCTTTATTTTTTCTGAGTTCCAGCTTTATTTATCCTGAGTACAGGATATTTGTCAAGTCGTATATACAAAGTTTTAAGTTTGTTTCGCTAACTAACTTGTTTGCATTGTCAACATGGCTAATTATTTTCCATTTTCATTTAGCCCTTTGGTTTCGCTGGACTCAACTTGTCGACTTTTCCTCTGCTAGTCTCCCTCCCTCTTCCTCTCTCTCTTTCTCTCCCTTTCTCATGGTCTTTGCCTTGCTTTCCTTAATGCGCTTTGAAACATTCCGTTGGCATTTTCTTGCTTTTTATTAATAGGCTTAAATGCACTTTCTCTGTTTCAGCTGTGCTCTAAGCATTTCGCAATTTATGTCATCCCCACAAATTATATAATTATTCGAATTACCTCAAGGCAAATGCTTTCAAATATTTAAGCTTTCGAAATGAAATTCTCTTGAGGCATGAAAAGTCCTTGAAATTATATCAATTATCTATTATTTCCCATTTGCCATTTTCCATTATCGACCAAAAATATTCTTTTAAAGGGCATTCACATGTCGCCTGACCAATTATTTTATAATTCGATTCACTTTTAGCTTTTAGTTAGCTCATTTACAGCTACAACCTCAGCTGTAAATTTTCTTGCATTGTTTCGCTTTCTCTGTTTGCCTCTATTGCTTTCTCACTCTTTCCCTACCTCTCTCTCTTTCTCAGTTGAAACTGTACATTATGCATGAGGCACTAATTGAATAATAGCCCTTCGTTCCATGCGTTCACATACCGACACACACAACTGTGGACTGCACTTGTAATAGCTCTAGTATATTACATCGATCAATCTCTAGTTTTCGTTGATTTAAAGAAAATTTAATTTGATTTTTATCTGATATTTATTTGAATGCTGAAAAGTTTTTCATAGAGATTTCAAAAATAAATTATAGGTATATATATATATATATATATATGTTTTTCCAATGTTTCATTCCAGCGTTCCACTTTTTGATATATTGCTTGAAAGATAATATAAAAATATAAGAATTTTTTAGGAAATAAATAAAAATGTTCAAAATATATGTTTTACTGCACTTATCATATAACAAATGTTATTAAATAACACTATAAATACATTAAATGTTTCAACTTAATCATATTCCTTTCACTAACTCCATAACACCTCAAACTCGAAACTTTGTGGAGCAGAAACCCGAAAAAGGTTTGCCAGCTAAACAAATAAATCAAGTTTTTGTCATTCGCAGCAATAAAATTCAAATTATTTTTAGCTTTAGATCGGGCGAGAGCCTCAGAGGCTAGGCACACGCAAGCCAACCTGAAAGGGAATATATTAAACATATACATATATATAGATACAGGCTATACCATATCATGCACTATATTTGTTAATAGCATGAGAACTTTTTCCAGCCTTTGCCCTTTTATTTCCTCTTTCTCTGCTTCTCCTGCTGCTTCTTTATATTTTGGCGACTCAACACGCGGCGCGTCAACGACAATCAAAAGTTTGTGGCTTGTGGCAGAGTTGACACAACTAATGTCTGTCTGTCTGCCGGTACCAATTTCCTGTCAATACCCATAAACACCTCCCCTGCCTCCCTCTACAGACACCAGCATAGATATGACTCCTGTTCTGAACAGGGTTTCGTGTCTGCAAAGCAAAAAAAAACCGATTTTTGGATAGCACACAAAAGAAAATTAAGAATATTTCAATGTGTTTTGAGAGTATGCCTAACTTGCAGATACCCTGGAAGTAACTTTGAATGTATGTCAATGAATCTTTAGAGTATGCCTGACTTGTAGTTAAGCAAGCTATTAAATTCTAGGGTATTATTAGAGTACAGAAGGCATATATAGAAAGTTAGTGTGATATATGTATATCTGCAATAAAAAGAAGCTAGATAAATGCGCGAATAACATAAGTTTATTAAATTAAGAAAATATAATATCTGATATATATGTATTTAAAATTATATTTTAAATCAATTTTGAGCTATTCCCCTAGCACTACAGCACTATAAAGATGCTATTCAAGCTATATTTGCTTTTTGAATTATTTTAGCAGCAGATTGAACTGAAGTCTGTGAGATGCAGGAATATATAATTAACTGAAGTAAATTTAACTTAATTTTAAAAAGTAAAATGATCAAATGAAGCTAACAATTTATATATTTGTCAATTAATATTCTAGAAATTCTAAATAATATATATATTTTTATATATATGTAATAACCAATTTAAATATATTTAAGAATATAATAAAGGACTATAAAATATACCCGCAGTTGAGCTCTATGGCTACAGGGTATGCCTGACTGGTAATACAAAGCGAATGAATGGAAAATGCGGCGCCTGCCAGTTATAAAATTTGTTGTTTGTTATATATATCGTATATACATACATATATATCGTGTGTAGCTCACGATTTATCGATAAAACATGCGCCTAGGCAGCGTTAAGCGTCTCATTACGCCCACGACAAAAAAAGTGTGTATTGGAGGCCAGGAAATTGAAAAGCAAAAATAAGAAGAAGAAGAAGAAAACGTAACCGTAAACGTAAACGTCAACATTTTGTTTGCACTCGCAAATATGTTTCTGGGTTGTTTTGTTTGCGAAATCAAATTATTGCATGTGCCACCAATTCCAATTTGAGCTGGTGCTAAAAGCTAAAACTAGAAATGGCAAAACTGCGATAAATGGCAAAAGTATCAAGCCCAACACACACACACACACACACAGATGCACACCCACACAGAGGCTAGTAAATTGGCCCCAAAAACGTTTTTCCTCGTAACTGCCTGTCGAAAGTTATTCGCAGCCAAAGCTGGAAAAATGGCTAGATGGGAGCAAAATACTTGAAATGAAACTTTGATGAGCTATTAGTCATTTTGACATGTGCTTTACGACTCTAGTACATAGAGCAACTCAGCCAACGAACAACATCTAGCCACCATCAATAAACATTTGTCTAGACTCCAGGGCGTTTTTCTGCCATATATTGCGCATACGCAATGTATTACGAGCAAAGTAGTTGCCATAGCTGGGCAGCTATGTTTGCTGGGCACGAAGTGTTTACATACTATATAAAAGTGATTCCTGGGTTGCATATAATGTTGGCTCTTAAAGTTAACATGAGTAGTGTTCGCTACATGACAGAGCATTACTAGAGTCAATCGAGATGGAGTACATTTATTTAAGTATATTAATGCGACTAGTAACAGCATGTTACGGTATTTTATAAATTGTAGATAGTTAACAGCTGTTACTGTTATGAGCTGCAACCACTGCTATCTTTTACAGCACTTTAACATAACTATGCAAAGGCTAGCATTGCAGCCATGCTACTGTTAGCAGCTACACTTACTGTTAACATATGTTACGTGACTAATGCTAAAGCTTCTATAT